GTATCGTGTCTGATATATGTCAAACACTGCATACCTCCTTGAGAAGAAGTGTCGATGCATCACAAATGTCTACTTTGATTCTAAAAAAATAATCAAATGAAAATTTTTCTCTTTGATAATGTGGTGAATTTGAAATGTGAAAACTTGTTAATCTTTCAAGATTAAGTTATTAAAAGAACAAAATTAGAATAATTGGGAGATAATGGCTTTTAAGAAGATTGTTCCAAAGATCCTAAGAGAAAACATAAACATTTTATATGTTAGTAAGGAGATTTGATAATAGACTGAGAATATCGATATTATGGAAAAAAAATGATTTTAAGAGTGGTAAAAGTTAAATGGCACTTAGGTTTATAAAAATTATAAGAAAACTAGAAACTTTGCAAAGATGATAGTGAGCGAACATAAACTACAATATTTGATGATGTACAAATAGGCTTTAGTATTAAGAAAGGAGAAAAGGAAGTTTATGAAATAGCTAAGGCAAAAGATAATAGATCTACAGACTTCGAACAAATTAGAAGTATAATTAGTGAATATAATAAAAACTTAATTAAAGATGAAGGCTAAGGAAAGACTGAAATGCTGAATTGTGAAATTATTAAATGTAGTTCTAAATAAGGAATTATTTTGAAAAGCCATAATAAACAAATAGTGATATAAATGACTGATTATCCATAATAAGTGAAATGAGTTAGGTCTGAAAAAGATACATAAAGAAAAAGTTTTAACCAAATAAAATATCTATGAAGACTAAGAGAATGTCAAGTTATTAAAAAAAAAGCATTTGAATACCAAAATTTAAAATAAAGGGGAGATGCTCAAGATTTTGGAAATTATAGATAAATCAAATGTATGAGTCATACGATGAAGTTTTCAGAAAGAGTAATGAAACATAATTTTTTTTTAGAAAAAAGCTCAATTTATGAGAATCAATTTCATTTCATGCAAAAATCAACCATGGAAGTGATTTCTTGTGCTAAAAAAATAATCAAAAAGTATTGAAGGAAGCAAAAATACATTAGGAGTATTATACAAGAAAAGGATATCATGGAGATTTGAAGTAAATTTTATAAAATTATAATTAGGCCAACTGTTTTGTATGGATTTTGACCAGTAGACATTAAAAAGAAAATTGACAACTAAGTTGGGCATGACGAAAATGAGAATATCAAGATAAAATCATGAAAATTTCAGGAATGATAAATTATGAAATGATTAGAAAGTTGCTTAGAGTGATTTATGTAATGGATAAGTTGCTTTTAAATAACCCCAAGTAGTTTGAACATAAACAACAACAACAACATCAAGCCTTTATCCCACTACGTGGGGTCGGCTACATGAATCATTTTTCTCCATTGTGTCCGGTTAAGAGTCATATTCTCATTTAGATCTAATAAAGAAAGGTCATTTCTAATATTTTATAACCAAGTCTTTTTAGGTCTACCTCTACCTTTCTTAACATAGGTTAAATATAATGCATCTACTCTCCTAACCAGGACATCGAAAGGCCACCGTTATCTATGACAAAACTATCTAATGCGACTCTCTCTGAACTTATCTGCCACTGGAGCTACTCCAACCTTTTCATTTATATGCTCATTTCATATCTTGTCTCTAAGAGTAAAGCCACTCATCCACCTAAGCATCCTCATCTCTGCAGCACTTAACTTAATATTATGTTTCTCTTTTAATGGTCAACATTCTGCGCCATAAAGCATTGCAAGTCTAACCACAATCTTATAGAATTTTCCTTTAAGTTTGAGTGTTACTTTTCTATTACAGAACAAGCCCGATGCATTCCTCCATTTCATCCATCCAACTTGAACTCTACTAATAATATCTTCATCTATTTCACCATCACTTTGAACAATATACCCAAGTTATCTAAAATGTGTACTCTTATTAATGACTTGATCGCTCAAAGTCGCAAAACCCCCGCCAGATCTATTACTACTAAAATTACACTCCATGTATTTGATTTTAGGTCTACTCAAATGAAAACCTTTAGAATCTAAGGTTGACCTCCATAATTTAAGTTTACCTTCAACTCCCTCTTTAGCCGTATCAACAAGAAGAATATCATCAGCAAAAAGCATACACCAGAAAACATTCTCGTACAAATCTCTAGTAAGAACATCTATGACTTAAGCAAAAAGATAATGGCTTAAGGCTGATCCTTGATGTAATCCATCTAAAATTAAAAAATACTTGGTCAAACCATCTTGTGTTTGAACACAAGTAACAGCACCAGCATATATAACCCAAATGACTTGAATATAAGCATTATTAATTTCTTTCTTTTTTAGAACTCTCCATAGCACTTCTCTTAGAACTTTATCATATGCTTTTCTAAATCAATATAACATATGAAGATCTTCCTTTTTCTCTCTATACTTCTCCATCAAACCTCTCAATAAATGTATGGCTTCCATAGTAGACCTACCCAGCATGAATCCAAATTGATTTTGAGAAACATTAGTATCACACCGTAACCTATGCTCTATAACTCTCTCCCATAGTTTTAAAGTATGACACATCAACTTAATTCATCTATAATTTACACAATCTTGTGCATCACCTTTATTCTTAAATATAGGAATCAACACACTCATTCTTCACACATCTAGCATCTTTTTAATCTTCAAAATAATATTAAAAAGTTTAGTAAGCCAAGAAATTCTTTCATCTCCTAAGCATTTCCACATCTCTATTGGAATATCATCAGGTCCAACAGCTTTCTCATACTTCATTTTCTTTAAAGCCTCTCTAACTTCAGATTTAGTAATACGCCGATAAAATCAAAAATTTCTATTTTCATTTAGAGTGTTAAGGTCATTAAAGTCAATCAAATTTTCACAATCTTCATTGAAAAACTTAGAAAAATATCTCATCCATCTTTGTTGAATATCCTCTTCTAAAAAAAGTACATTTTGATCTTCATCCTTAATACACTTCACTTGAACTAAATCCTTAATACTCCTATCTCTTTGTTTGGCTAGCTTAAAAGAAAAAAAAATGCACTCTAACAATGAAATAATGTGTCTACGAATGAAGAAGGAAAAGAAATAAACCTAAAGAAACATGAAAAAAAATTTCTACAATGATTTGTGAAGAATAAGTCTAAGAATTTAGATAAAATTTAGCAAGAACGAATGAAAAATGAATATATAAAAATCAACCCTAAACAGTTTAGATAAGCATATTGTTGTTGATGATGATTTATTTCATTAGTTCTTGCAAATTCACAAACAAATGAACATGCACAAATAGAACAAACATTTTCACAAGAAAAAAACAGCCAATAAATTGCCATGTCATTCATTTGAACCAACAATCCCTTTCCTAATTGAATCAACATGGAATCCATGGTTGACCGTGATAACGTATGCACTTCCTGTCTTCCTTTTCTAATAAAATCAATGCAAGTTTGTTGAAACGTTTCTAAGAAATTGCCCGGCCAAGGAGAATACACATTTAGCCACTAGTGTGTTTTATCTCATCTGAATAAGAGATATAATTAAAATTGTTGTGCCCCTCAAAGCGTAGCAGAGATTTACTAATTTCCAAGTAAATTCCAAATATTTACATAGTGCAAGTTAATATTCCATACTTCAATTTGCATAAATCCGCTTAGTCAATGAAAAAGTAATATGATGTTGTAGACCAAATTTCTTATTTGAAGTTCAAAAAACATTAACCGAACAAGGAACCTGCACTATCAAGTGATAAATATTAGATAGATAATTTTTCCAAAATATCTCCAGCGTTTTATAAATTTTTTTGACATACTATAATTTTGAATGTGACATGCACTCAGAATAGCTTACAATGCACTTTCCAAAATCCCCATTCCGCACATCAAACCCCAAGAAATATTACAGTTCTCTTGAACTTGTTAACAAAGAAAAAACTAATTTCACATTTGATCAACTAAATTCCTATAACTCTAAAAGAATATTTATACTCTATATAAGCCCTTCATACTCTAGATGAGATAACATAAATCTAGTGCGGCCAATTATATAATGTTAGTGCGCAATTAAGCATTTAGTAACAAGAATGTTTCAAAGTTACAATTTGATGAGGAAAATTTATTAAAGAAAAAAATATATAGATTATAAACATTGTCAAACACTTTGTGTTTCTTGATATCAAAGCCTAGTTACTAAAATTTAGAAAATTTCATGTTTTGGGTTAGTTAATCTGCAACAGTTAGTAGTTCTACAAAAGCAAGTTGTTATACTAGAGCTGAAGAACACAATTTTATCCCAGAATCAAATCTGTCAAATGGGCCAGGTAAGAATTAACTTGATAATGACTTTTATTGAAGGACATCTTAACTAGATGTAACAATCTTCATTTCCATTGGTTACGTTGCCTCGAATTATAAGTACTTACTAAATTAGAAATGATCTTTCTTTATTAGATTTAAACGGGAATTTGACTTTTAACATGACACAATGGAGAAAAAGGATTCATGTAGCCGACCCCACATAGTGAGACAAAGGCTTGATGTGTTATTGTTGTTGTTGCTAAAGCATACAGAAGGACTTCTTCCATAATTACATATGTAGGGCATTCAGATGTTGTAAAATATTGAAGTTAATGGAGGAGACAGAGAATTGCAGATCAATGATCCAACAATCACTGTAGATTTGCATAGAATTAGCCTGTTGTCTATCAAGTGCAACTGAAAAATACTGGTTCAGTTCTTCTACATTGAGCATAGAAGTATTTAATCACACAGGAATAGAACCATTCTAAAGTACAAGTAGAAAAAAATGGTATATTTGGTAAATAGCAAACGATTCATTTAAGACAATAATATTGAAAATCAGCACCAAATCAGTAAATTAACATTTCATGAAATAACTCCCCAAGTTCGGTGCCTACACACTATCTAAAATAGTAAGGATTTTTAATAAACATCATGAAGCAATGAAAGCAATCTAAAATGCCAGGAGAAAAAAAAAGAACAAGAGTTCCGAAAAAATTACTTTTTTTGGAATTACCGCTTGCCCTGATTCTGGGTTTCTTCTGTCCAGATTGCAAACCAATGGAACCTCTCCCCTTTCCCTGCATCCATGGGCACCTCTTAGCAGCCATCAAAGCTTGCACAATCAACCGCTCACCCCGAACTTCCAATAACTGGCTTCCTTCGCTTCTACCACTTTCCACGGGCATTAGAGAACGCTTTCCATTAGGCTTTTTACCATCTTTTTCACACGAAGATCTCCCAACGATATCACTTCCCAAAATCTTGCCGAAGCCATTCCCTTCCTTCGAAATTTTCCTTACAACATTATTCAATTTCTCTTTCGTGCCCTCAACTTTCTTCATATGCTCTGACCTTTCAGGCCTATAGAACCTTCTACCATCTTTAACAAAATGAGGCATAAGGGAACGTTTTTCATTAGGCTTCTCACCATCCTTTCCACCCAATGATTTTCTAAGTACATCATTTTTCAAAACCTTTCCCAAACCACTCCCTTCCTTAGAAGTTCTCCGCACAACATCATTCAATTCCTCTTCCGTTTTTCCAATCTTATTCATAACTACCAACCCTTCAGGCCTACTGACCCTCTTACCATCTTTAACAAAATCAGGCATAAGAGAACTCTTTTTATCATGCTTCTCTCCATCCTTACCACCCAATGATTTCCCAACTAAAGTATTTTCCGAAAATTTTCCCAAACCAATACTTTTCTCAGGAATTCGCCTTACAATATCCTTCAATTTCTCTTTCACTTCTTCAACCTTGACCTTGGCCTCATAACCTTCGGGCCTAAGGAACCTTGCAGCACCTTCGACAAAATCCGGTATCTGAGAACTCTTTCTAGTAGAATTCTCCGCATCCTTTTCATCACTCCCTTCCTCAGGAATTCTCTTCGCGATATCAGTCGAGGCCTCATCGGAGGGTTTGGGGATGGAGGCGGCGACGGGGCCGCAGCCTTTGGGGAATTTGCGGGTAGCGAAGACAATAGGTGTCTTGAAGATTTTTCCACGATAAGAAATGAAATCACTTCCAGGGCCGCAGGAAGTAGGTTCCGGAGGAGTGATGAGGGGACTCGGCGGAGCCTTTTGACCGCTGATAAGATTGCCATCTGCCGCCGGCTGTTCCTCGGCGGTGGCGACTGGATCACAGAGAGAAGGGAAAGATCGGACGGCGAAGGCTTTCGGCTGACGGGGATTTGAGGAACCCGCGCAGGAGGAGGAGAGAGCCATTAGGGGTCTCCAGAGTTAGATTCAGGTCTCGTTAAATTTTGACATAAGAATTTTAAAAAAATATATTATATATTTTTTAAAATATATTATGAACAAATTTTTTCCTATTATAGTATTATGTATCACCTTCCTCAAAAAAGTTTAAAGCAATTTTATAATTTTGCATATATATTTAAAAGAATATCATTTAATTATTCTGATTAATATTGTTAAAATGTATTTATTTTAATTTATAAGAATTAAAATTATTTAGATCAACATTAATCTTATTCAATTGACATAAATCTGCTCAAAATATATTTTTAATGCAATTTCATCGTAATAACTAAGAAGATGATATATATGACTTAAATTGAGCTTTTCTATAATGTTATAATAAAAAATTGTAATATCAGTGTATCATAGAGTTTCCTATCCCGATACCACAAAATATTAAAAAAAAAATTGACATTTTTTTCTTTTCAAGTTCAAATTATTACCTAAATGCAATCACATTCTTAAATATTAATATGCAACTATTTTAGGTTTAACATTTCATCTCTAATTTTACTTATATACATACTCCTTGCTTTTACATGTTTCAATCATTTTAAATTATATTAGTGGATGTATTATTTGAATGATTAATAGAAGAAGATGTATATATAGAGCAACCACCTGATTTAGAGAGCTATATACACCACACTCATGTATTTACATTGAAAAAAATACATATTGTTGTGGGCTAGAATATACGCAGTGATAGAGTTAGAAATGTATGTCTCGGCATTATACGAATATCCAGCACATAAACAAAAGAAAAAAGATACAATAGAATTTTTACTTGGAAAACCCTAAAAAAGGGAATAAACACGGGGCCACGCCTAGTTCAAATGATTTCACTAGTGTTTGATTGGATTACAAGTAATTGGCTCGTCCCTAAAATTGAGGACTATCATATTACAATAATCAATCGTCGGGTTGAAATCCAGTTACGACCTGAGATCAAAAATTAGGCGACGTTTAGTGGTCGGGCAAAATTTTGGCTTCAATTGACCTCTCAATAAATGTATGTTTTTTGATGATGATATTCTTCTTGTTGATAAGACTAGAGAGGGAGTTGAAGGTAAACTTGAATTATGGATGTCAACCTTAGAGTCTAAAGGTTTTCGCTTGAGTAGATCTAAAAATGAATATATGTAGTGTAATTTTAGTAGTAATAGACCTAGTGAGGGGATTATGACTTTGGGCGATCAAGTTATTAATAAGAATACACATTTCAGATATCTTGAATCTATTGTTAAGAGTGATGGTGAAATAGATGGGGATATTATCAGCAGAATTCAAGTTGGATGGTTGAAATGGAGGAATGCACCGGGCTTGTTGTGTGATAGAAAAGTCTCTCTCAACTTAAGGGAATATTCTATAAGATGGTGGTGAGACCTGCAATGCTTTATGGTATCGAATGTTGGCTATTAAAAGAGAAGCATAATACTGAGTTAAGTGTTATAGAGATGAGAATGCTCAGGTGGATGAGTGGCTTTTTCCTTAGAGATAGGATACAAAATAAGCATATACGTGAAAGGTTAGAGTAGCTCTAGTGGAAGATAAGATTAGAGAGAGTCGCCTTAGATGGTTTGGTCACATAAAATGGTTGCCTTCCAATGACCTAGTTAGGAAAGTAAGGTATTAGATTTGATTTATGTTAAGAAATGTAGAGGTAGACCTAAAAAGAATTTGTTAGAAAATATTAGAAATGATCTTTCTTTATTAGATTTAAATAAAAATTTGACTTTGACAAGATACAATGAAGAAAAAGGATTCATGTTGTCTACCCCATGTAGTGGGATAAAGGCTTGATGATGATGATGTTGTTGTTGTTGTGTATGTTAAAAATTATAAATAATGTCATTTACTATGATTAAAAAAAGGAGTTGATGAACTATATTAGACGTACAAATGTATAGAACATATTTCATCATGAAAGTTGGAAGAGCCTTATGGTATGGGAGCTATATTTAGGAAATCTTTTGTTGTTTATTTTGGTTGCTCCCTCTTTAGGAGGGGAAATTAGAGATGAAGAAGTCTAGCATAAAAGTTAGAGTTAATTTTGGCAACATGCATCAATCTTATGGATGACGGTGCATATTAACATAGTTGGTGATGATAGGTTGTGAAGTCAGTGGGTGTTGGTGTAGCTAAGAAATAATACGCAGAAGATTGTAGTTTAAGAGATGGTGGTTGGAGTATTATAGTTGGGCTACAGTGGTCAACGGATTGTACTCAGGTAATAGTGGTACAAAGGTCAAAGGATTAGTTGGATAATAAGGGTAAGAACTAAGAAGGTCATAGTCAGGTGATGGTGGTCAAAAGATCGTGATCAAGTGATGGTGGTTAGAGAATTATAGTCAAGTAATATTTGTCGGATGATCTTAAATATGCAACGATGGTTAAAAGATGATAGACGGGTGATGGTGATTGGATGATCATAATTATGTAATGGTGGTCAAAGAAATATGATTGGATGATAGTGGTGTACAAGATATCATAATTGAGCAATGGTGATAAAAAGACTGTAGTTGGGTTATAGTAGTTGGAGGGCTAGAGTTGGATGATGGCGGTTGGAGGATTATAGTCGAGCAACTTCTACAACCCTTCTCATAACCTTCATAGTGCTAAATTACAGTCATTGTAGGATCATAGTCAAGCGATGGAGATTAGAGGGTTAGACTATGAATGTTAGAAGATAATAGTTGGGTGATAGTGATCCAAGGACTATAATCTAGCAACTATTATTAAAGGATCATAGCCAGCCAATGAAGGTTGAGAGACCTTACTTAAGCAATTGGATGAAAGATTAAAATTGGGTGACAGTGGACAGAGCATAATAATATAGAAATAATAGTCGAAAGATTATTATCAGGTCATGGTCGAAGGTGGTTCATAGTCGGACCATGGTGGTTGGAGAATCCTAATTGGGTAGGGAAGGTTAGATGATCTAGTTGGAAAGTAGTAGTTGGAGAACCATATTCGGGCAATAGTAGTTGGAAGATCATAGTCGGGCAACAATATATGAGGTCATAGTCGAGCAACAGTGATTGGAGGATAATAGTTAGGTATCTATGGTTGGAGGATCATAGTCAGGCCAAGATAGTCAAAGGAACATACTTGAGCGATAGTGGTTCAAGGATTATAATTGATGGGGTGGACTTGTGCATGTAAGCAAGCAAGGCTTTATTACAGACTATGTAATAAATGCTTATTTTGTCAGTACTGAATAATACTTAGGTTTTCTTTGACATGTCAATAATAGAATTCCACTTAAATATACACAATTAGAAGTGTTGAATCAAGTAATAAAGTGATAAAGTAGAGTGTCAAATCCACAAGAAAGTGTTATGCTTACTTGCAATAAAAAACTATTACTACTTACTCTAAATGCGTAAGTTATCCTACTAAAATAAAAATGATATTTTTGGAATTTCTATTATTATATAAAAATGGTAGAATAATTATTGCAACATTTAATAAAATATTTTGGATTGATGAATGCAAAATATTATATATTTTTTTTCTAATGAAACTCTAAATTATAGATATGATTCAGAGCATGTGCATCCATTATTGAAATATCAAATATAAATTTAATCAAAAAATTTAAAAAAATTTGATATTTTTTGAACTTAAGATAGACATAATATGGCATACCTTGATCCAAATAACTTTTTCAACTAGATTGACGGTTAAAAACTGCCCAAAGCAGCTCAAAACTCATTTTTTCTCTCAAAACCTCTCTTTCTCTCTCCTAATCAGTCGGCTGCTCGATCAAATGAATAGAATAGTGGAAATGTTTTAATTTAAAGTGTTGTTAATAACATAGTGCTGCGTCGCTAGCTCAAACTCAAATTCCAAAGCTTGAAGTGTTGCAATGTCATTATTTGGCATCTAGTACTGCAGAAATGATGAGGCGCTCGGATCAAATAAATGTCACTATTTAGCTAAAATAGTAATATTTTTTAGATTTTGACAAAATTCACATCAAACACTTGGAACTCATTTTAGAACACATAATCATTTATAAGAATTAAAGTACTCCCAATAACATACAAATGGATTCAAAACTCAAAAATTTAAAATTTACCTTTTTCCAAATCTTGTCAGTACGGGTATAGCTGAATGCTGATCGAACTTAGAAGTGTCACATCTTCACCCAACTATGATCCTTCAACCTCTATCACCCAATTACGATCCTCCAACCACCTTCAGTTGATCGTTCCCCGACTTTGGTCTTCCATCCATTATCGTCTTGCTACACTAACGCCCACTAACTTCGTCATCTGTTATCACTAACAACATTAAGGCATGAATTTTCTAGCATGCCATTTATCTATATGTACTAGATATTTGCATAAAACTAAGTTAATCTCTCTCTCTCTCTCTCTCTCTCTCTCTCTCTCTCTCTCTCTACCGCCATGAATTTTCTAGCATGAAACATTTACAAGTCGCACAAAGTTTAATGTTGTAAATATGATTTTTCAATATATTAATAATCTTACATTTATATACAACCCTAAATTCAAGTGATGACCAAACCTTGCTATTGGCCATCAAACAACTTATGTCTCAAAACTTAACTATAATATGAGTTATCTAACCACCAATTTCATTTTTGTTCAATTTACAAATCACTACTTTCACATTCTCTTTAGAGAGAAAAAGTGAGTCATCAATATTAACAACATTGCTAATGAAGAAGAAGAGCAAGTATCTATCAATCCACCTATCAATGTACATAGGATGCTATTAATAAAAGATTATTGGTAAACACTGAGCTGATGTAGATCAGTTGGAGGTTGAACCGCTAACATCAATTTCCCTCTTTTAACTTTCTAAATTTTTTCATTTACTACAATCCTATACTCTAAGATTTGAAAATATTCTAAATTGTGAATGCTTATGTCATGTGATCTAAGAAAAAATTTTAAATGGAAAAGCCAATACCATTTATTTTATTTTTCAATAAAAGAAAATGCATTTATAATCTTTT